TAGACTAGCAAAGTACAAAACCAGTAGGTTAATTGACTCCTATGGGTGCATATGCACACCTGCATTCTATAATTATTATAATCAGAACCAAGAGGAAGGTATGTACCTAGTTTATATTTATGAGAAAGGGGAGGCCGTTAAAACACCCCCAAAGATAGAGAACATCGTCGCTAAGTACCCTGATCTGTTTGAGGAGCCTRCAGGAGTCGTAGACAGGGAGGTTGTTCATGCCATAGAGATCATCCCAGGTAGCAAGACACCTAAGGGGAAAATCTATAGGATGACTCCAACCGAGTTGGAAGAGCTTCAGCGACAACTGGAAGAGCTCACAGAGAAGGGCTGGATACGGCCTAGCACCTCCCCCTTTGGCTCACCAGTATTATTTGTCCCAAAGAAAGGGGGAATACTAAGGATGATTATAAAGGCCGCAATGCCATCACTGTTAAGAATGCAGAGCCTCTACCATGCATCGACTACCTATTGGATAGGGTGCAGTGATGTAGGTACTATACAAAGATAGACTTAAAATCCGGCTACCATCAAATTGCTATAAGACCAGACGATCAACACAAAACCGCATTCCAGACCAGGTACGGTCTATACGAGTTTGTGGTGATGCCTTTCGGCCTTTGCAATGCGCCGGGAACATTCCAGCACGCCATGAATAGGATCTTTCATGACTACTTAGATAAGTTTGTCGTCGTGTACCTCGATGACATACTTATCTTTAGTAAGACTGTCGAGGGACATGCTCAACATGTAGACAAGGTACTTTCACTCCTTCGGCAACACAAGTATAAGATAAACTCAGAAAAATGCGAGTTTGGTCGCACTCGAATCTTTTACTTGGGTCATGAAGTTTTCGCGGATGGGATTAGGCCTGAAGATGTGAAGGTGGCTAGCATACGTGACTGGCCACGACCCTAGTCTGTAACAGCGGTCAGATCATTCTTGGGAATGTGTGGTTATTACCGCAACTTCGTAAAAAATTATAGTACAATCGCATCTCCCTTGACTGATCTAACTCGACTTGATACGCCATGGGACTGGATCGACGAGTGTGAGGCAACTTTCAAGCGTTTGAAGCATGCTCTCACGCACCATAAGGTTCTCATGGTACACGACCCGCAAAGGCCGTTCGTTGTAACCACTGACGCAAGCCAATACGACATTGGCACAGTGCTGGCTCAGCAGGAAGGGAAGAAGTTGAGATCGGTCGAGTATATGAGCAAAAAAATGTCATCAAAGAAGTTGGCAAAGTCCACCTACGAAAGGGAAGTCTACGCCCTCTACAACGCACTTGTCCACTGGAGGCGCTATCTGTTAGGAAGGTTCTTCTATTTGAAAACTGACCATCAGACCCTCAAGTGGATCAAGACACAACCAGTTCTCTCCGATGCACTCAAACACTGGATTGAAGTCATAGATCAGTATCACTTCAAACTAGACTATGTGAAGGGAGAGTACAACAAGGTTGCAGATGCATTGTCTCGTAGGGAAGATTACCTAGGTGCGCTGATTTATGAGTTTGGCCTTTCTGAGGACGTTACTCGATCCTTGGGGGAAGCCTACAAGGAAGAACCCATCACGATGGACATCATCAACAAACTGGAGGCCAAAGACAAGGCCACCACTGACGAGTTTGTGATGGTGGATGGGTTACTCTTTCTTGAGAAGGCAGGGTTTAAAAGTTTAGTTGTTCCATCTAGGGAAATTTTGCGTAGTTTATTCTTAGGTGAGTGCAAGACGCAACGGGACATTTCGGCTATAAGAAGACTAGTGTTAATTAAGTACAACGATTTTGGTGGCCTAACATGCTGGACGATGCAAAGAAGTACGTACAGACCTGTTAGGTCTGTCGGCGGGACAAACCGTGAACTCAAGCTCCGCTTGGGTTACTCAAGCCTCTACCCATTCCTGTTGGCCCGGGGCAGAGTATCTCCATGGACTTCATGGATACGCTTGTGACCAGCAAGAATGGCAAGAGGCACATCTTCATCATAGTTGATAGGTTCACTAAGTTTGCTAGACTAATTGCCATGCCGGAGACCGCCAGGACTGAACACGTCATCAAGTTATTCATGGATAACTGGGTGAGAGAGTTTGGGCTGCCAAAGACGATCATTAGTGATAGAGATGTGTGTTTCACAAGCGATATGTGGAAGAAGGCCGCTGAGCAGATTGGCAGCCAGCTCCAAATGACTTCTGGGAATCATCCCGAAGCCAATGGGCAGGCCGAACAGATGAACCAGGTGGTGCAGCATCTGCTGATGCATTATATTAAGCCCAGCCAAGATGATTGGGATGAGAAGTTACCTCTCATCGCCAGTCTGTACAATAATGTTGTATACAGCACCACAGGGGTCACCCCGAATCAGCTGCACCCTGGGGGGAAGCCTAGATCTGCACTAGACTTCCTCCTTCATGAAAACCGACCTGCTGCAACTCCTCGAACAATTGAATTTGGTGTCCAGTACGAGAAGTTGCTGCAGCAAGCTATCGAGAACATCAAGAAGTCTCAGAAAGCAATGATTGCTTCTGGAAACAAGCATCGCCGACAGTCCATATTTCAAGTAGGGAAACGTGTCTGGGTTAAGGCTAGTGAACTGGGACAAGAGTTCGGCATCTCTAGGAAACTAATGCCTCAGTACTTCGGTCCCTGGGAAGTCCTGGATGTTGTGGGTAGTGAGATGGATGGTCCCTCGTACGTTGCTCGTATCCCTGGTCACTTACGCACTTACCCTGTTTTCCACGCCTCAAAGGTCGCTCCTTTCGCTGAGACAGAACAGCTCCCATCACGGAGATCTATGCTGCCCCCAACCATGGATGGCCACGTGGACGTCAACGATATCTTGGAGCACAACGACATGCCTGTTCCCAAGCCAGTTGGCAGGGGTAGACCGCCTAAACCTGCAAGGGAGTACAGAGTATGGTTCAAGCATCATACGGATCCTAAGGAAGATCGATGGTTTACGAGGGAGGAAGTAGTCAAGACAGCTCCTCAGATCGTGGCCGAGTATGAGAAGAAACTGAAGGGGACGGCACCAGTATGAAGCATCTTAGTGGACTTTCGAAGATAAGGAGTCAAGACAGCTCCTCAGATCGTGGCCGAGCCCTCACGGGGCCCTATCAGATATCACATATTCTGGCCAGAGGCCCCAGCAAGCCAAGTGCCCGCCCTAAGTGAAGGCGGGCCTGAATATTCATCAGAGGCCAAAATTCGACATTTTCATATGTGGGTATTCAGGCTCTTGCAGCAAGCCAGTTGGCTGAGTGGACGTGAGCCTCACTAAGCTGCGTCGTACAGTTGGCCCAGGCCTTGGCAGTTGCGCCTGGGCACATACACACAAAGCAGGGCCGATACATCATGAAGCGGCCACCAGCCTATGCAAAAGCAGTACTGTCGACGCACCTACCCCAGGGTCCTGCACAAATGCAGCAAACGGCCCAAGTCCGGAGACTCAGGTCGTGCCCAACCGTAAAGGGCCCAGGCCCTCAACTGAAGTCTCGGGCCTGGGCGCCGGAACTGAGGCCCAACCAGAAGCTACTGGAAGCTTCCAGCCAGGCCACACGCAGCATCCAGGCTGCCACTTCCATATAGGAAGTGAGGCAGCCCAGGCCAGGCATTCTGGCCCGCGCAGGCAATGCGGTTACGCTGCTGCACTGCTGCATAGGATGCTGCGCTGCGGCCAGTGCGCTAGCGGGGCGCATTGAGGTGAAGTGGTGCGCTGGCGGCCAAAGCCGGGCTGCTGGGCGCAAGGGGGTAAGAGGCGGCGATCTGGTGGTCTTCAGGGAAGGAGGCGAGTGTGTGGGTTGTCAAGGTCTGATGAGGGTGATGAGATACGTACCTGGTGCATGAAGAGAGGTCGGCTATGTTGTTGACATCATGTACATTGGTCTTCGAGAGTCGAAGTGAGCCTGTTGCGTGAACACAGCTGTAGGTAGGATAGTTGAGTAGAGTAGGTTAGGCACTGGGCGCCAGACAGAGAGGAGCGACTTTGGATACTGTGTTGGTGTGGCCTGCGGGCTTGAACATTGGCTCATTACTTCATTGTATTGCTCTATTTGGACGGATTCTCGGTGCATCTGTGCTCTCTGCTTGTACACGACTACTTGGACATCTGTGTGATTTCGCAACTTGGTTTTCTGTATATTGTTCACACTCATACTGCTTGCACTTCCCTCTTTTTTGACCCGCCTGGTTTTGCTGGGCGATGCCCCCCAGACCAGCTGGCATGGGCATGCCTGCCCGGGCGACCGCCCAGCCTAGCCGGGTGGTCCAAATGACCCAAAAAAAGAAAAGAACACTGCCACCCCCCAGTGTTGCACCCCCGACGGCTGGCGGCCCTTGACTGGTCAGCTGTCGACCCGCCGACCGATCGGCTGGTCGGCACCTACCGGTCGGGGGTCGTCGGCACCGCGCAAAAAAAAATAAAAAAAAAATAAAAAATCTTTTCTTTTTTTTGGGGGGGGTTCAGATCCCCTAGTAACACCACCAGTACCCCCATAGCGGCATCCAATACCCCCATACACCCCCCCAACACCCCCAAAGCCCCCCCAACACCCTCATTACCCTCCCCAATCCCCCCTATACCCACTTATACCCCCCTATACCCCCCTATACCCGCCCTATACTCCGACCCCAACCCCCCATACCCCCCCCTATCCCCAAAAGTTTCTCAGCGAATTTGGGCTGTACTCAGCAAGCGCAGTACATCCCCCAACTCAGATTTGAAAAAAAATCAGTGGATGGTTGTTTTCTGACTGGTCGGCAGACCGCCGACCGGTCGTCCCTACTGGTCGGCTGCAATACGGTCCGCGGTCAGGATCGGCTGTCGGCAGGGATGCAAACCTGGCCACCCCCCAAAAAAGAAAGCCCAGGCCATCTAGCGGGACGGTTCACACATCAACTGTCAATGAGGGGTTGGTGTTGGGCGGTACTACATGGGGCGAGGCATAGTACGTAGACAGGATGGGACTATGAGGGCTGGACACTTCACCATGGGGTACGTGAGCTGGGTGGTGCAAACGATTACTGGCCCCTGAAAAAAAAAAAAAAAAAAAAGAACGAAAGGCCAGACCGGTAGGTACCTGCAATCACGTCCGAACCTCCATTCGGCGCTCACCCTAATGGAGCTGACCACAATTACGGCCAAAACTAGAGCACTTTCTTAAACGGCCAAACACGGATGAATATGACTGCAATCACATCCCGAGCTTTGTTTACTGTCGTTATGCAAGTATGCCCTCAGATGAGCCTGCTATGAACATCCCCCGAAGTGTGTAGGCCCTGCCCAGAACGAATGGCCAAACACAAATGAATCTGACTGCGATCACTTCCAGAGGGTGGTTGCTGTTAGGGCTCGGTAAAACTGCTGTTAGGGCCCGGTAAAACTGCCCTCGCACCTACTATGCCTTTGTATTTGAGCGTTCGTGAAGCCCCCTGAGGAAACGACAAAACGCGACAGCGGGGCGAAAAGCAAAGGAGGATTCAACCAACACAGAGCCGCGCAGAAAAAAGAATTATCGCAACTGGAACGTTGCGTAGACCCCCGTGAGCGACCCACTTTGCACCGCCTCATGACAAAGAGGTCCCGAGAAAAGAAAAGTGAACCGATGTGTCGCGCGGCCACCCCATAAGACGACAAATACCAACTCAAACGTCCCCATGTAGTCCTCGCATTGCGGAACCTCTCGTGTGCCACGGCTTTTTCCTGGCCCTGCGGGGAGCGTCTCATGAGGACCACTTTAGTAGCATAGAGAGGGGGGGGGGAAATCTGAGGTAACGCGAGGTTGACATTTCTCACGACAACTATAGCAAGATTGTTATTGATGCGTCCTCCAAAACATCCATTAAAACTGGAACGATACAGAGAAGCTTAGAATGGCCCCTCCACAAGGATGGCATGCATATATCAAGAAAAAAAAAGAAAGAAGAGAAGAAATTGTAATTGATGCTCTGCTGGTGGTGCTTGCTGAAATTCCTTTTCACGGCTTTTCACACTGCCGCTTTGGATTATGACACTGCGCCTCTGGTTCCCTCGTTCACTTGTAAGTCTTATTACCGCTATACCCTTTCCTTTCTTAGAAAGTTCACTCCTTGTGTTTTAAAAGCAATATAAAAAGGGCCCGAGGACATCATCATGGAATCTTCTCGTCCGTCTTCTTCATTTTTTCTCAGTCTTGTTCTTCTTCAGAATGAAAGGGTCGATAACATGCATGCAGCAGACAATCTGGCAACATACATGCAGAGCCCCCAACCCGATATGCAATGACTTGCTGTTTTCTGGTCGCCTGTAGCCTCTCTCTGTCGAGGTTGTACCATAGGTAGGGTAGATTCGTAATTTTGTTTGGCTGAGGGCTAACCGAGAGACCTACCTGTAGTGGAAATTCGTGAAGGACACACCTGCAAATTTGGGAAAATACAGGCCTAACACTAACTGAATTTCCTACTGCTACCCTAACTGCGAATAGCAGGCCCCGGCTAACCCTAGGACAGACAGGCCCTAAGGGCCTATGCTGATAGACGGTCCTATAGCCTATAGCCGGGTAAGGTAGAGGCCGAGAGGCCGAAACTGAATTGGTACCGGTCAGTCAGTCGGTCCGGTCTAGGTCGAGGCTAGGCTAGTTGTAGTCTATAGATAAGGGCACATCGGTTCAGGGATTTTGGCAGTTGTTACCGAGTACATCGCTGCTGCGCTACGCGTGAACCGGAAGTGGTGACGGCTCAGCATGGAAGGAGACAGGCAGAGCCAGACCTTTGGAGCGCCGGCCATAGCTGGGACCTGCTTTGTACTCTGCCAGCACGCAGGGGCTGACAGAGGTCTGGGCTATTGAGGTCTGCTGGAGGCGAGAGAAGTTGGTGCCCTGCTGGACCCTCCTCCGGAGTGGGGTTCCAGGGTAGTGGCGCTGCAGCCATAGCGGCAGCTTCTTCCTTAGAGGTCATCTTGTCAGGGTTTGGTGGCGCTGCTGCAGACTTCCACCCGGGAAGTCTTCCGACACTTCGTCATCATCAGATATTGTGGCCCTGGTCTTCTTCTTCATCCTCTGAGTGGCGCTTGGCCTCAGAGGCTTGTTTCAGGGTGGCGCTTCCCTTTGGAGGCTGTATCAGGGTGGTGCTTGATGTTTCGGGGGCTCAGGGGTGTTACGAGTGGCTAATCAGGGTTGGGGAGTGAAGCTGTAGTACTGAGGTTATCCTTTTTTTTTACTTTTTTTTTTTCTTTTTTTCAAACACCCGGGGTGGTGCCAGGGGTGCTGATAAGAGCAGACACCTCTAGCACTCCCAGGGAGGCTCCATCTATTGGTGGGGAGCGGCACCTGCTGGAAATCGGGTCCAGCGTCCCTGAACATTATAATGGTTTTCAAAACACTGTACTCCTGCCAGCATTGATTGCCCGGGACACCGGGGATTAACTGTACAGGTAAACGTGCATCTGCTGGAAATCGGGTCCAGCGTCCCTAAATGTTCAAAACCGTATATTCCCGCCAGCAGTGATTGCCAGGGACACTTGTAATGGACAGGTTGCAGGCCGCCTCTTCAGTCTGCCTTAGACCGCCAGCTCTCTCGTCTCTCCTTAAGCCGTCGCTTCCTGTTCCTCAGGCTGTATTTCCGGGGTTGCCCAATCAGTCGGCACCTTACCATTGCATATCCACCATCGCCAGCTGGTGGGGCGGGAAGGGGTCGGGGAAGTCTGTGGCAGGTCGCAGCGGGATCTCCCGGCCCATAGTAGTCCAGTCTCTGAAACAGATCCAATAGTCTCTCCTGAATTCCTCCTGGTTTCCCTCCTAGGCGGGCTTGCCCTCCCATCTAACAAATGCGATCCAGCCCCCATTCTCACTGCCCAACCAGTCCCCGGAAAATTGGTGAATTGCTTGTGTAATGTCCTTTGCTGAATGATATGACTCAAGTTGGGTTCACATTTTTTGCCAGTGTACCATGATTTCTCGTTGGATGTATTGCCTTATCATGTCTGTTGCCTCTTCCCCAGTTATGTGGACTCCCTCCATTTACCTGTATACAGCGTTTCCTCCAGAGGGTCCACATGATCGCTCTCCTTCCTAACTTGAACATGTTGTTTTCAAAGGTATTGTCGGAAGGGGAGGA